TGTTGCATTTCTTCACATTGGTAAGCATATGAGAAGTTGGAAACTCGGTCTTTGAGGTGTATCTTTCTATGTTCACCTACACAAAGCATTTATATATGTTTTCATTTTTCTACTGGAAAAATCTGTAACCATAACGTAAATTTCTTCGTAAACATGTCTTATCCTTCCAAAATATCATTTGAGGATTAGTATAAAAGATCAGTCTCAGGGTAATCTACCGGTCCCTTCTTGTACAAAGTATTACCCCTTCCCATCCACTTAATAAAAATAGATTTCTTAGTCCAATATCTTATAATCAGTTCTCAAATATCTCATTAGTCCCTTCATAACTCTTATCAGTCCTTCCAACTCTCTCACTCAAAACAGACAACTTTTTCAATCTCTAAAGACAGACAGAAGACCTCAAATGAGTTGCAGGACCATCTAAAAGAAGTAAAATGTTGACTCAACACTGCCCATCACACTGTCAAACTACTAACATGGACTTGCGGACTCAAAGAAACACAGGTAATCATGATTTTGTTCTGCCTTATTATTCTGATCTTCATGTTCCTGTACTCATCATCCAATATTATATTTGTCTCCTATGATTGATTTCTCAAGCCTTTTATCACCAATCTATTTGCACAGATGTTCTCAAATCTACTTAATAAGCTTAAGTTCCAAAGAGCAGAGAAGCAGTTTGAAAAGAACTCAAGGCTTCACTCAAAAACAATATACGAGAATTTGTGAAGCTAACCCCACAGATAAAAACGGTTGGATGTAAACGCATTTTCACAGTTAAGTGATGTGCTGATGGAAGAGTGTGCGAATGGATCTACTCTGGACTATGGAGTATACAGGGAATTAATTGTGCCAATAGCAAAGATGAATTTTATGCATGTAATATAGGCCTCGGCAGTTAACCTAGGGTGACATTTACATCAACCGAATGTGAAGAATGCATATTTCCATGAAGTAGTACTGGAAGAAGTTGATACAGCGTACAGATGTCCTCAAAGTTCTAAGGAATTTTATGGAACAAGAAGGTGTTCAGATGGAAACAATCTCGGAATACTTTGAAGCAATCTCCAAAAACATGATTTGAAGAGTTCACAAAATTTGTTCATAAGTCAGATATGCACAAAACTGAAAGCAAAGGCCATAATACACTATTCCTTAAACAAGATTATTGTAAAGCTACCATTCTTGTTTTACATTGATGATATTATTATGATGGACATTAATCTGAAAGAAATTGAAAATGTAAAACATCATCTTGCATGTAAATCTGAAATTAAAGATCTACGATACCTCAGGTATTTCTCAGGTTTTAAAGTTACTACATCTCAAATAGGAATCTTTTGTGTCACAAGGGAACTATGGGGTTTTTTTGAAAGATGCAGATATAGTGGGTCACAAGCTAGCTGGAACGTCCAAGGATATGAACTACGAACTTTGGACAGTATCAGAGATGGAGATAGTTAATAAGGAAAAATATCAAAAGATTGTCCCCAAATTGTGCCAACACCACAGGAGACATTGCCTGAGTAGTAAGTGCAATTTGTTAATTTATGCACCCTAAAGATATAAGTATACAAAGAGAAGGAAATCTTCTTATATTTTCTATAAAATAACCAAGTACCACACAGGTCTTAATTTATTAAAATCAACATCATCCTACTGAATGTGGTAACTAGGAATTTAAAAATTAAATCCCAAGAAATCAGGGGAAGAAAATGACAACAACCTTATCCACTATAATCAGATTAATTCGTCCTATAACAGAAAAACAATAATCCATAAATCTTAGTTCTTTCAACACTCCCCCTCAAGCTTGGAATAGATGTTAATCATTCCAAGCTTGGAAGTCATTTCTTCAAATTTTATCCTTGTAAGCACTTTTGTGAGAATATCAACCCCCTGCTAATGTGTTGGCACATGATTCAAAGTCAGGATCCCTTCTAATTTTTCTTTGATAAAATGACAATCAAGCTCCACATGCTTCGTCCAGTCATGATGAACAGGATTTTGAGCAATGCTGATTAATCCTTAGTTCCTTAAGTAGTCTCTTAAGCCATATTCTTTCACAAATACCTTAAGCCAAAGCATAAAATTCTGCTTCTACACTGCTCAGTGCAACAACTGATTGTTTCTTACTGCACCAAGTAACAATGTTCCCCCATACATGTGCAATAACCAGTTGTAGGTCTTATTTCGCTAATTGAGCAGACCCAATCTGCTTCTGTAAATATATCCACCTTTCTGTCTGTACCCTTATTAAAATATATATCCTTTCTAGGAGTCATTTTTAGGTACCGAAGAAGCCTATACACAGTTTCAAGATGTTCTTCATTAGGTTTGTTCATGAACTAGCTCACAACAGTAAATGAGAAACCAATATCAAGTCTGGTGTGCGAAATGTATATCAACTTCCCAACACGATGTTGGTATCTTCCTGTATCAACTAGGGGACAGTCTTCACTGAACCCGAGTTTATGATTTGAGTCCACTGTAGAGTCTGCAGGCTTACACACCAACATGCCAGTTTCTTTGAGTAGATGTAAAATATACTTTTGTTATGAGACCAAAATAAATTTTCTTGGACCGAGCTATCTCTATATCTAGGAATTATTTCAAATTTCCTAGAATTTTGACCTCAAGTTCCCTAGAAAGGATTTCTCTTAGTCTGACTATTTCTTCACTAAAGTATCCGGTGATAATAATGTCATCCACGTAAACAATGAGGATTGCCACTCTTCCATTTGTTAAGAATTTCAAAAGAAGTGTATGGTCAGATTGTCCCTGAGAGTATCCTTGCTTTTTAAACACTTTGGTAAACCTATCAAACGAAGCCCGTGGAGATTGTTTAAACCCACTTAATGATTTTCGAAGCTTGCACACTTTATTGGCATTAGCTCTTGTCTCAAGACCAGGAGGAATATTCATGTACACTTCCTCTTCTAAATTACCATGAAGGAATGCATTCTTAACATCAAACTGATAAAGTGGCCAGTCTTTATTAGCTGCTAAGGAGAGGACAGGAACAAATTTTGAGTTTTGCAACTGGAGAAAAGGTTTCCTGATAATCTATGCCATAAGTCCGAGTAAACCCGTTGGCAACCAACCTCGCTTTATGGGGATCTAAGCTTCCATCTAGTTATACTTTGATAGTGAAAATCCACTTACAACCAACTGGTCATTTTCCCTGTGGTAAATTAGTTAGCTCCAAGTACCACTTTTCTCCAGAGCTTTGATTTCGTCATCAACAGCTTTCTTCCATTCCGGCTTTCCATGGGTAGTATGGATATTTTGTGGAATTTCAATACCAGCACATTAGTAGTAAATGCCTTGAATTCTGGAGATAGCCCGAACTGAATAGGATGTTTAGTACATTCTCATACACCATTTCTTATGGCAATAGGGAGATCAGGGTCGTTATCAATAGACTCATTAGAAGCATTGCTACATTAATTTCCTGGAATCGAATCTGATTCATAGCTTTGCTCATGAAGAATTGGGATCTCTACCACTCTTGGGATCTTTTCCTCGTACAAACACGTAACTCATTTTTCATGTTCAAGATGGATCTTTTCAATGGAAGAAGTTTGAAGTTCAAGTTGAATTTCAGATTTGTCTTCCTGATTCAATTTCAAGAAGGTCAATTTCGGTATGGATATTAACAGGAACATTTAAATTTATTTGTGGTGAATGTTGTGTAGGAAAACAAGTCGCTAGTGGATGAAACCAATTGTATAAGTTTTATTCAATTGCAATAGTCGACTATTAAAATTAATAATCACAAGGCAAACGATTTCAATTTATCAAAAAAAATTCCGTTTCAGAATTTTCCAACTGCTGAAAAAGATGTTTAGCAACACAAAATCAGAAATATAAATTAACTACAAACTAAAACTGTAAACGATGAATCTGGAAGCTGCACACTATGGAATTACAAACTGCATGAATTAAATAGTAATGTGAAAATAATCTGTAGAAAGAAAACACAAACTGCAGCAGATTTCAAATCGAGGCCTATGCGTGCACAGTTTCCTTAAGACAGATTCGCCCCCTCACCGTAGGTGCTGGAGGTTCAGTTCGAGCGGCTATCTCCCAGGATACAACGGTAATAAGCAGAATTCGAGCACCGCGATCCTATTCCGACGAACTGATCTAGTATCTGAACAATATCACTACAAGAACAAGACCTTACTGGACAAGGAATGCAGAAAAGAAGAAACTTTGTATGCAGGAATGTAGTGAGATTTTCGAGTATGTTAGATTGCTGGAGAATGAGCCTTTTTATAGGCATATTGCCCATTAATATTGTTACCATTGGGAGTCCATTGGAGTTACTTCCCATTAACGCTGTAACCATTGGGAGTCCATTGGAGTTTTTTCAGTTTAGAAACTCAAAAGTCATTGGAGAAGGCCAAAAAAAAAATTGCCAAAATGTAGGCTCTCCGATGGAGCCATTTTTGCCTTGTTCTATCCAACATTCGTGTGCGCAGATCGCGCCCGCACTCAAGTTTAAGATCCAAATGCCATTTTGGTTCGTGATTTGCACCCCCCTGCATGCGCACGTGGAGAGAGCCTCTATGCTACACATGATTACACATCTCCAAAGCATAGCCATATATAAAGTGGTTTGAGTTTCCTTGGTTTTCCTATGTGGGATAAATGCATTTTTTTCGACAAAACCAACTTCCAATGACCAACTTTGAGTTTCAATTTCTCATTCACCCGAGCTTCATTTTTGGCAAATAAATACATGAAATCGATGTTCTCACGGAGGAGAACACGTATCAACTTTGATATTCCACATTGGACCAACGGGTCCCATCGAAAATTTTGCCAAAAGTGAGCCGCTCACTCAATTTTTTCCAACATGTTGAATTTGTTGAGCTGTGACATACTAAAGATTACATTCATTTTGGGAGTTCTCCTGAACGGAGTTTTTGATAAAGTAGGGTTGATTTTCAAAAAATGTTACATCCATTGAGGTGTAATATTTTTTAGTATTGGGTGAATAACATTTGTACCTTTTTATTAGAAGAATATCTCAGAAAAATGCATTTAATGGCTCTAGGATCTAGTTTGTTCCGGTTTTGAGAATGAATATGAACAAAGACCGTGCTTCCAAAAACTTGTGATGGTAATAAGCAAATGATGTGTGTTGTGAGATAGCATTTGAGATTTTGATAAGGACTTTCAAAGTTTAGCACCCTGGAAGGCATTCAGATTTTCAGATATATTGCGTTTAAAATTGCATCCCCCCATAAATCTTTAGGAACGTAGGTAGTAAACATGATAGACCAAGATACATCAAGCAAATGTTAGTTTTTCCTTTCAGCTATCCCGTTTTGCTCTTTGCTGAACGCAGAACTTTCAGGGACAGATTGTTCTTCTCTAGAAGCTATGAATTCATGACTCTAGACCCTGGATTGATTGCTTTGATATCTTCACTTGGGTTTCCAATCATCCAGCTTTCCATGTAGTATCCAGCAGGAGTCTATTTTGAGTCCAAGTTTTCGGCAACGATCACACCATGGTCGTCCAATTTTCCATTGCTGGAAACTATCACGGGTTATGTTTGGGCCATGAACAGGAAGGGCAGATGCTTCTGCTAAATCAATTGAACTTTGAGTGCACATCATCACCTTATTATGACTTTCTTCTTGCCTAACTTCAGAAAAAGCTTCTCAGATTGAAGGAAGGTGTTTAACACCAAGGATTCTCCCCCTTACATCATCCCAGTGTTTGTAGAGACCAAATAGGAATTTAAAGATTCTTTTTTTTCTCCACAATTTTTCTTGTATAAGGACTATACTCAATGCAGCCAAATTTCTCATTTTCAAAGAAATCAAGCTGCTTCCAGTACCGATTTAGGATGTTAAAATATTGTGTGACAATCATCTCTCCCTGTCGAAGATCATTCAGAAGACCTTTAATCTGAGATAACTCTGCTGTATTTTCATTGACATGACCATGCTATTCTCTATTTTCCAGACCTGATATGTTGGATCTTTTGTGGCTGGTGACTTGGCAGCCCTAGAAAGGCAGTTATCTTTCCCTTTACCACAAATAAGGAGCATGAGCGATCGTGGCCACTGAAGATAATTTCGCTCAGTCAATTTATGTCCAGTGATTGGTAAAGATAGAGAATCAGAATTGATTGGATTGTTGGAAACATCGTTGTTAGGAGTGGATGAAGCATTTGACGTTTCAAAGGATGAGGCTATGCCGTACTTAATCATCAGATTGATATGTTTTGAAGGAGAAAAAGGAATAGAACAGACCGGAACTGATCTGAATGGAAAGAACAGAGTTAAAGTTCTGATACCATAAAGATATATGTATACAAAGAGAGAAATCTTGTTTATATTTTCTACAAGATAACTAAGTACAATACAGGTTTAAATAGATTAAAATCAGCAAACATCCTGCTGAATGCAGTAATTAGGAATTCAAAAATTAAATCCCATGAAATCAGGGATAAAAATGATAACAACCTTATCTACTATAATCAGATTAATTTTTCCTCTAACAGAAAAACAATAATCCCTAAATCTTAGTTCTTTCAACACCTCAAAAAGTGCAAAAGAAGACATGAATTAAGAATGTGCATTGCATAAAAAGCTCAGTAGATTAAGTTTGTTGTTCTCTAAAAATAATCACATAAGCATAAAAGCATGGAATTATATTGTCATGATGTCTGAGCTGGCTCCATAATAGAAAAAGTTACTACACTTCCATTGGTGAAAATCTAACAACTTGAACAAGAATTCCGTCAATGCTCCATAAAGACCATATCTTGATGCCACATTACGAACAAGCTTAAATAACCAAAGAAACCTTATAGCATCCTAGGCTATGAAAAAAAAACCCCAATAAGTTTGGACCAGTGGCAAATTCCAAAAGGGAAACTAATTAAGCACACACCTCCTAAGCCTTGTGTCCTAGATCTGTCCCTGAACAAGTCAAGGTTTAAGCCTTGTGTCCTAGATCTGTCCCTGAACAAGTCAAAGTTTAGGCCTTGACAAATAGCACTCAAAGCATAAGCTTTGAAGCTCTTAACTAAGCTATCACATGAGGCGAACCTCAAGTGTAATCCTCTGGATCTTTTGAAAGCAACGACCCTAATCCGTCACCGTACTCATTGCCCGTATGATCCACATCAAAATCCACCCGCAGAATCAATTCTAAGCAGGTTTATGAGAAAGGTTGAAGTTCTGTGGCTCAAATATATTTTAGTGGTTATTGATATGTCAAATACATCCTAAGGTGTTTTCTCTTTACATAAATACAAAAACCTAACTCTGGAATATAAATAAAGTTAGAAACTCACAAGCAGGGAGATTAGATATATCAGCAGAAACTGCACATGGGATTCCCAAGTTTGAGAGTGCTCCCCTTATAATTCCACAAGGAAAGTAAAGATGCATGCCAGTTGCTTGTGCTGCTTTATTTTTAGCCATTGCTGAAGGGTCTTGAATAGAAGAAGATGCATCCAGTGATGGATCAACTGACAAGTGTGCTAGCCACCGAAACCGATTGTCTTGCAATACAAAAGTACCCTACAGCGAAAAATAATTCAACTCATAAACATCTTCCTTTAATTAATTTGAAATACAGTTCAGATACTCATACGTACTCTATGATTGGTCTTTAAGTTGTCTATTTGCTTCTTGAAGAGTTCAGACCAAAAGTCCTTGCAGATGAACTTGATCGCCTCCAGGTGATCGGTGAACCTTGGTTGATCAATTGCGCATCTGTCAGAAAAAGCATGATATCAGAATGAGCATAAACATCCGAACTTGAAAAGCTGAAAATCACCAAATATGGAGAATTGAAACATCTGATATTCAACTGAGATCACCACTCAATTATTTCTCGTGCACATTATTTACTTTCAGTACAATACTAAAGTTATCATCCAACTAATGTGGCTGCTTTACAGAGAAGAATATTTTTTACCATCCTTCTCAAAAGAAACTCAGAACACATATGTGCACAGGAAGTGCCAAACTACCCTAACAGAAGAAACAGGATAATGAAAACAAAATCAAAAGAACAATACCCGAACAAAAAAGGATAGAACGCATGGAATTACTCGAGTGAATATTTCTATTAAAAAGGACACAGGATAACAAGCATACCGTCTAATGATAAACTGAATAGAGCAGCAAAAAAGGATTCATGTCTCAACCGCTTAGGGAACGAGGCCTAGATTTCGTATATAAAAGCATAATGTCTTCTCTATCTAGGAAGAATTGAGATACATTTTCCAAAAATTAGGAAGTACTTGTACAGCATAAGAATCATTGCTCTTTTCCTTCTTTTATTTTAAAAAGGGCAGCAAAGGGGAGGTTTGATACGACTGAAAAGAACATGCAGCTTAATAGGAGTCTTGGGTGCCGTGTAACATTTTTTGAGGAGATTCGTGGTCTATTTCAGTTATGTTTTGTTGTCTGTTTTATCCATACGTATTATTACACTTTGAATATAATCTGAACTATCTTTATGAAGTCCAAGTTTACAATTTTGGTGCAATTTCTGAAGTCAAAGATGCCAAATTATGCAGAAGGGCCAAACACATGAAAACAAATCAATAGTGGAGGCAACTTCAACCAAAAACATTCAAACAGGAAATGTAGCATCTGACACAGCCCAATGATTGGTTAACCAAGGTGCTAACGAAAAGACCATCATGCCTCTTTATTCTTACTGAATCCTCTATGCAAGAACTGGTACAAGAAAGAGAAGCTGGTCTACCTCACTGTTGTGGATGCCAGAAAGATTAGCAGTTTGTGAATAACACACAATACATATGCTTGTGTGCGACCTTTTATTGAGAATAAAAATATACTGAAAATCTGATTTTTATCAACCAAACAGAGGCTATCAATTATCACTTTACTGCATAAGTAGAATCACAAGAAAGTAAATGCAAAAATGTTATGTCTAGATTAAGAATGATTTCAAGAAATTAGGATTATTGTTTATCATTATTTGCTATCATGCTTCTGGTCTTTCCTTGTTCACCCACCCTTCCTCCATCAAAAGATAAAAAGACAAGACCAACCCTACCTACTGCATAAATTGCAATGAATGGTACATTAAACAAGCATAAGAACCAAATTGGCCAGCTAGTGAAAAATTCAGTACGCTAGGAGTAGCTTCATTAAATTACACACTAGTCAAGTAGTTTGAGCTGTTAAGTAGAATAGAATACTTATCATTATTTTCAGAATTCTGTTACACTGAAGAGAGTTCTCTATTCGACAAAGCACTGAAGTAGTTTGAGCTGTGAAGTAGAATAGAATACTTATTATCATTATTTTCTCTCATTTTCTTCTGGTCTTTGACTTGTCCACCCACCCCACCTTCGCTCTACCAAAACTTAGAAGAGCAAGGCCAACCCCTACCTACTGCATGGATTGCAGAAGTACAAGAACCCAATTAAAAGCCAGAAAAATATGCAGTATGCTGGGAGTAGCTTGGCTAAATTACTTGCACTAGTGAAAATTTACTGCACGGATCGCAAATGAATGGTTCATAGAACAAGTATAAGAACCCAATTTTCGGTGCAACGGGATTCTCAATACAACAAAGCACTGAAGTACTTTGAGTTGTGAAAATGTGACTGCTTATCATGTAGAGGACCCTCTATTTCTTCTGAAAAAACCTGGAAGCCCAAGAAATTCTGAACTACCAAAAATCAAGTAACATTTCAAAGTCAAAATTATCTGCGACATACATTAACCAAATGAAAAGGGGTCGAAATCTAACTGGCAATTGCATAAATCGAAAAAGTTGCAACGAAATTTACCTTTCGGAGAGTTGGTGACCGACCTGAAAGCCAATTGCCTCGATCCTTCGGGCAGCAAGCTCAGGCTTGTCGGCATAAAAGCCAGTGCAAAAAGAAGAGACAATCTCTATGAGTAGATTCTCCAAACAGCTCTCTGATACTTCCCTTCCCATTTTCCGATTTTTGGGCAACAGGGACTCAGAGGATGTTCTGTATACATGTGTCATTTGTTACTTGTAAAAGATCTTTAAAGTTGCACTTTCAAACTGCGCTTTTTAGAAAGAATAACCCCAAACTAAAGACCATTTGTAATTCATACAAAACATGCTTATTCATTAGCATCATTTATTGTTAATGGATTTGAAATTTTTCATTAGCTTATGCATGCTCATGTTGCTTATCTTTCCTTCGTTTTCTTAGGGGGAGGCAAATAATAGGTGCTAAAAGAATATATGGAATGGAACCCCCTTGGACGGTAGCATCACTTAATGTTAATGGATTTGAAAATAACCTTCAATGGCATATAACGCATTCCACATAAAATATGATCAATTATCATAAGCTTGATATTGCACGAGCCATCATATCACTTCATTTATACACACAGTTTCAAAAATTACTACTTCACCAGAAAGATACATTCAAGAGAGGCAGACCAATAACTTAATCTAAAAAAGTTGAAAAAAAAAAATTACTAAAAATATAGCAGTAAGCTCATGATATTACATGCAGATATCTACTAGGTTTCACGCTCTCAAGTAAATAATGAAAGATAAAGACGCTGAGCTTCTATCTCCTAAACAGTCATAAGATAAATGCATTGAACTTTATTTGCACAAATAGGTAGCTTATGTCCACACCCACAACATCTCACTCCAGAGACCCCAAGGAGAAGATATTAATAAATTTTCCATTAGTTCAGTCATTCTCATGTGCACATTTTCTTCTTTTCTTTCCTGTTTCCCGAAGGAAACAAATGTCAAGTGCTAAAAGAAAATATGGAATGGAAACTCCTTGAATGGGAGCATTAATAGATATGAAAATCACCTTTAATGGCATAAGAATTGCTCGGAACACATTCTTCACAAAATATTATCAATGATCATAAGCTTAACTGTGAAGGAACTATCGTAATCACTCCATTTACACTCGTTTATTTTCAAATTACAGCTTTTACTAAAATAATACATTCAAGGGAAAACCAGAAAAATAAAATTTCTCTTAGAAAAAAATACAAAACAATATGCAAGTCAGCTCAATACACTACATGCACACATCTACTTGGTCTCATGCATTATTTAGAAGCCAATCATATGGATAAAGACGCAGTTTTAACTCCTAAATAGTGATAAGATAACTATATTAAACTTTTTCACATAAAATGGTAGCTTAAGTCCGTAAAAGACCTGCATCTCTCTCCAGCTATCTAAAGGAGAAAGTATAAATAAATTTTCCATTAGGGTCTATTTGATTGCAAAAATGAAATTTGGGTGGAAAGAAGACGAATTCCACAAAACTGAATTGCCTGTAACTTATTTTACTGGGAATTATCAATTAAATGTGTTTTATTGGTATAATTTTTCACCTGGAAATGGTTGAAAGTTTGAATCTTTTGGTGTTCGTTTGACTTTGTTTTTCATGAAAATTGTCAATTAAATAGATAGATTTTTTTACAATTGTTGATAGAATTTGTTTCCATTACCAAAAAACTAAAAATAAAAAATAAAAAAAATAAAGTTACAAAAAGAAAAGATTAATTTACCAAAAAAAAAGGGTGGAAAGCCCATTTCTCACCTTTTCCACCAATTTAAGGAAAAGAAGGTCATGTGGTGGGGGAAGGGGAAAATGAATTTCATGGAAAATTTATGCTATCAAACAAGCAAAAAGTCGAAAAATGCAAAAAAATTTCCATCTTCCATGGAAAATCTTCCATAGCAATCATGGCCTTAGTTTAGTCATGCTCAGTGCATGTTTTCTTCATTTATTTCCCTTTTTTTTTCTTTTTTTTTTTTCTTCATATTTCTGCCTAAAAAGATTCCAATTGAACAAGATATTGCTTCTTTTGTTGGCTGATACTAATTTCAGTCATAGAATATACAGAAAAATACAATTAGAAAAAAAAATACTAAGAAAAATTCAAAGAATGAAGGCAAAACTATGATTTTGTCCTAAATAATTATCTGATTATTTTCTGCAAGTGGCGTATTCTCGGGAAATTCAGGACCAGGGGTGAAAAAACTTCTTCCAATTCCACAAAGGAGAAAGCAAAAGAGATTGACTTGGAAAAATCGCTAAGATGCTAGACCTGGTATTTCACATATTGTAGTTTCTGCAGAAGATAGGTCTAGACTAAGACATATGGAGAGCAGGCACCCAGAACGCCTACAATTTTACATTCACAAAATAATTTCTATCCTCACGAGCACCCTGGCAAGTTCTGAGGGGTCCCAAAATAATGTCCACATTTAGCTAACAAATATCAACCAAATAAAACTATTTTGAAAAGAAGAAAACTATTTAAGGCATATGCCTTGAGTCCTGCTAGACTGCCATTTTTGAGGCATACACCTCAAGTGACTAATGTATTGCTTGTTTGGTTCTGATTCATTTTTTTCCTCAACGAAAAACAATTATAAAATCTGGATTCTTACAATTTGTGGACATTTTTCTGTTGGTCTTAGCTTTTTGAGTTATTTTTGTGTAACCTAAAATGTTTTACTAGTTCTACTATATTTTTTTCTGCCTACACGAAAGAAAAAGGAAAGAAGAATACACTTCTTGTTGACAAGAAAATATATTTTGCAACATGGAAAATGATGTTGACGGTACCCTCAAACATCATATAAGATATTTCTGAGCTTTTCTACTTCTGGTGATTGTAATTTTATTACATGATTAGTAATTTGAGAACTTACCATTTTTCTATATTATGTTTTTCAGTGTAACTATGGGATAGGGATAGGGGAAGCGGAAAAAAAACTGAAGATATCACATAGCACTTTTGATCGAAAATCTTTCCAAATTAGACTTTCCATTTTGCTTATTTGTTTATTAGGAACATATTTTCTGATTTCTGGAATAATGTTATTGGTCCGCCTTGAGGAATATGCCTCACTTTGCCTAGTTAAACCTTTTTATGCCTTTCTAAACATTGTTGACAACAATCCTAAAAACTAACTACTTGCATTCACACTTGTGACCTATTCATTAAGCTTCAAAAGCAAGAAGAGGCCGTCACAAAACTCAACTTATTTAGAAAATCAGAAATATATACGAACCAGCCCAAAGCGATGCTTCAAGTAAGCATGGCTGCATGGGAAATCAAATTTTCTTAAGTTTCCATTTATAACTAAAACCATCATCACCATCCCCAAATAAAAAAACTGTGTGCAACTAAAAAGGGGCAATGGAGGAAACCGCGAAGAAAGATACAATGTGCAGTCAAAGCAAAGAAAGTCAGGTTACGAGAACAGACAACAATTAACAGAAGTATTTAGAGCTACAAGTGAATGCCTTGCATTGAAGATGACCAAGAATGAGATAAGCTGGACCACAATTCATACATATTCCATATGTCCCGACAATAACGACTTACCAATCACCAAATATAGAAGACCAAATATAGAAGGCCCTATCCTGATGATGGAATTAATTGTTCCAATGGTCATTGAACTTAGGTCCATGTCTTTGATTGATCACTAAAGTTTAAAATGTCGAGTTTTGGTCACTGAACTTAGGTTCATGTCTTCGATTACTTATTGAAATTTAAAATGTCGAATTTTGACTACTAAACTTTGAAAAATACCGTACGTTATGACTAGCATAACTGTTGAACTTTAAAAAATATCGAATTTACAATAAGTAATGTACGTCATTTTTCAAAATTCAATGGCCAAAACTCGACATTTTAAAATTTCATGAGCAATCGAAGATATGAACCTAAATTCAGTGACCAGAATTTGACATTTTAAGTTTCATTGATCAATTAAAGATATGAACCTAAATTCAATGACCATTGGAACAATTAACTCCCTGACGATGCTAACACAATTGAATGGGTATTGCAATATAGCTAAGAAAACAAATTTCCAGAACTATAATCCTTAAATATTAAAACTTGATTTGTATGTTTGGATATCAAATGACAAATTGGTATCAATATAAAATTAGGATAAATATATTTTGCTCAATTTTCCTCAGATTTATAATAGTCTTCTACCTTCAATTTGTATTTATTAAGCAACAAGTTCTTTTACCTCTTCTGTGAAGCTCTAACCTTTATTTTTGCATAAGCATATTACTGAATAATAAATATCCACACTAATTATGGAGAATCCAATTTTTAACTTTTCAGTTCTCAATTGACCTTATAATTTACCTTTATCACAAAAATCCAAAGTACAAATACAAAAAATAAAATAAAATAATTAATTAAAATCGCCACTGAATAACCATTCCAATTCATCAGCTTCAGTACAAAAATCATATTATACACAATATACAAAAATAATTTAAAAGAAAGAGCCAGTGCACACCAACGCTAGCCTGTTCGCGGAGGAGACAATAGAGAATATTTTGTCTGGGATTCCGCTTCTACTTCCCTATAAAATATTATACAACAAAACAGAAAATAATTAATCAAAATGTTACAATCGCAAACAACTAATTGTAATCACACCGTCAAATTCATCATATGTATAAACATCTACGAAGATAGAAGTGTGTGTATATATATGCAGAGAGACACAGTGAGACTAACCTAGAAGCTAAATGAAGATGGAAAAGTAGAAGAAACAAATAAATATGAGAGAAACCAATAAATATGAGATAGGATCAAGAGAAATGCACGGATTGAAAATAAGAAGAAATATATTGATTTTTATATATTTTAAAAGTATATTATATTAATAATATTGAATATCAAATTTATATATATATAGACACGTACAAAAGTTTATAAAACGAAAGATTTCTACTAATTTCATATAAATTTATAAAAGATTTACGAAATTCACATAAGTCAATCACTTAAAAAAAGTCCATCAAATCTTCAAAAATTCTAATTAAATACATCCCCTAAACTTTGCATACAATTTATCACTCCGTGGTGTCCTATTATGGCCAATGAAAAGCTAGGTCATAAGAAAATGGATTTGAATCGAGTACACATGATTATTATAAAGACTCTATTTCTTCTAAACAAACCCCAGAGGCCAATAAATTCTAAATTACCACAAATCAAGTAACATTTCAAAACCAAAATTATCTACAACATACATTAATCAAATGAAAAGGAGTCGAAATCTAATTTGTAATTGCATAAATCGAAAGAGTTGCAACGATGAAAGCCAATAGCATCAATCCTTCGGGCAGCAGCTCTGGCTTGTTGGCATAAAAGCCATTACAATATGAAGATACAATCTCAGTGAGTAAACTCTCCAAACAAGTTTTTGATACTTTCCTTCTCATTTTCTGTTCATTGGGTAACTCGGACTCAGTGGATTATCAAAATTCTTCAATATACGTGTGTCATTTGTTACTTGTAAACGATCTTTAAGGTTGCACTTTCAAACTAAACTTTATCTAACTTATAATAAAAAGAGAAAGGAGGGTCTACTATTAATGCAATAGTAAATTAATCTAATTTCACTATGCATGATGTTATTTTTTATTTTCCATTTTATTTATGTCAAACAAATGTTCTTCCACACATCATGTCACTAGCATTAAAAAAATAATTATGTCAAACAAATATTCTTCCACATATCATGCCACTAAAATTAAAAAAAAAAATTTAATAAATATAAATTGCCATGAGATAAAAAAAACTCTCCGCACATGAACTTTAAAAAACATAAAAATAAACTCTCCACACAGTACGGAGAAATGGTAAACCATATGCGGAGAGTTGGCAAACTCTCACAGTGCAAAGTAAAAAAAAAAAAAAAAAAAAAAAAAAAAAAAAAAAAAAAAAAAAAAAAAAAAAAAAAAAAAAAAAAAAAAAAAAAAAAAAAAAAAAAAAGACTAAACTCTCCGCACATTGATTGTCATATGCGCTGAACGAATTTTGCATTTATCGTATTTTTATCAGTGTATGAATTTTAGTTTTTTGGAAAGTTTTTGAAACATTATCTAGAAATATTTTCATGATATAAGAAAATAATTACAAATTATTTTACAATTGCATAACAATATTGTGTAATCTAGAAAAAATATACTTGTATATTTCATACTTCGATAAGAAATATTATTATTTCGTGCAACACACGTGATATGCATTTGATTATAATGACATCATTTTATATTATTATTTCATTGGTAGTTTTATAAAATTTATTTTTACTTTTTTAACAAAAGGCTATATTATTATATATTTTTCTATAAAAATATTTGTTTACCACGGTTATTTTCAAATTAAAATAATTAATATCTATTAAATCTCAATTTATAAAATTACAAAACAAAATCAACGTTTGTATACTAAACCTCTATTTAGTTTTCCAAACGAGCATTTTTCTATAAAACTATCCCCATTCGAAATCCATTAAATTACTTTTTTCTATAACTCATTTTCTATCACATTCATAAACTAAAATATCTTACACGTAAATAAAAAAACTTCTTTCTATTTTCAATTACACATTCTTAAAAAAAAAAAAAAAGGAGGAGATCTCCATTCCAACTCTCATTTTCACAGGAATAAAAATGAAAAAATACTCATTGTAATGGATGTCGAACGAGGGCTAATCACATTCTTCCATATTTTTTAACCACATCAAAATTTGACCATTTCAAAATACATTTTCCCCAAAATCTCATTTTAACGAAGCCCAAACAGGGGCTAAAAACTAAATTGATTTAATTAAAAAGAATAAATTGATATTTTAATTATAGTTAATTAGATAAGCCACATTCTACAATAAACCACACATAAAAACTAGGCATGATTGTTTAAATATTTGAAGTTGGTCTTTAAAATCAATCCCAAACGGTACCTCAAGAGAAATATAATTTGACTAAGCCAACGTGCAAAAAGGAATGAATATAAACCGTTGCTACAGTGCAGAACGAATCAAATACTGGTATGTACTTAAAAAAATAACTTAAGCTCTATTTGGGACATGCCTCTTCGTGCAGTGTTTGTAATTTGTTTCACCCAACACTATCAGATTGTTTCTTCTCTACAAAGTGAAAACTGACTCTAGTGTTGTAAGACCGCCCAGCTGCAAGGAGATTCCATTCCATTAGAAAGGATATGCAGTCACGTAAATTTTGTCGAGCATATACCCAAAAGCACAAGCAGAGAACAAGTTGATTGCTGAGAGCCACATTTCGTCTCTAAATCTGCAGTGCTATCGAATTGATTCACAGGGCATCCTCGTCCTCTAGCTCATCTGGTACGTGCAACTTCTCAATGGCAGCCTGTTACAAAGATGAGAAATTAAACAAGGTGAACGCAACTAGAATTAGTCGTCCCTTCCAAGAATAAACCCGTCCACAAGCTAAAGAGATGAACAAGAAAATCACCTTAATGACAGCAACGTCAGTTGCAGATGGTTTCAAATCCAATGCTAGTCCAAAATGAAGCATGGCTTTGTCATACATATTACGCCGTTTATAAATCCTACCCATTAAAGCGTAAATACTGCTCTCACGGGGTGCAAACTCTTTAAGCTCCTCCAGAACTGCTAAAGCCCCGTCAAAATTTTCCATGCTCACAAGGATGTTAGCCTTCTGGTACAGAGGGAGAGGGTTCTTCTTATCCGCTAAAATAGCCCTATCCATCATCTCCAATGCTTCCTTATTTTTCTGTATAAGAAAATACCGTTATATAATGGAAGTAGATCCAAGCAACGTGAATCACACGCTAAGATTTGATCCAACCTTCAATGTATGTAAAGCTGTCCCAAGATACGACATTATCACAGAGGAACGTGGATTTATTTGGAAGGCCAGTCGGAAGTGATGCTCTGAGAACTCAAACTTCTCTTGCCGGAGGTAAACCATTCCAAGTCCATGCCAGGCATTGTAATGCCTGGAGTCAATCTGGAGGGCACTCCTGTAGCTCTTAATGCCATTCTCAAAATCCTCTAAGGCGACGTATCTGTGAATATGGATAAATCACCAGTGCAGAATTATTTTAAAAAAAAAAAAAAGTCATGAAGATTAAATCTGATACAATTGTGGTATGGAGTCGTACTCGTGACCACAAAGGGTGTGGGCATATGCAAATCTTGAATTTAGTTGCACTGCTCTCTGGAAATTCTTAAGAGCAGTTTCATGATCTTTCTGCAAGCTATAGCAATTTCCCATAGCACACCTGTCACATTATAGCCATGAAATCAGAATAATGCTGAAGGAACAAGTAAACAACAATGACTTAATATAAGAGGGTCTACCAATGAAGCATTATGCATTAAGACTGCAAGAATCAGATAAACTCACTAAGGAACATCCACAACCAACACTTAAATGTATGAAAAAGACCACTAAACACCATTTAGCGATCTAGCCTATGATGTACTCATATAGCCCACAATTGGTATCTCAAAATTAATGCTGGGAAAAAGCAACAGCAATTAGAAGAAAAGGTACCAAGATTGAGGAGCTAAACGGTCGGTGGATATCAGCTCCTGAGCCAGGTAACTCAATTTCATATCTTCCTTCAAATGCTGAAGCATGGAGGTGAAATTGACTCTCAATAGAAAGTTAAACAAATGGAGTAAGACCAAAAGCAACATAAGAACAGAAGCCAATAGCAATTCAACAAGGGGTTAGATCACACATATATCCAAGACTCAACAGCCATGAATGTATAGGTAAAATAGAATTTCCAAACAATGCCCATCGTTAATATACAAAAAACTCTTTAAGATCAAGTATAAACTCTTGCGGAGACAACAAATTCAAAGAAATTCCTTCATCAATTAAATGTACCGTAAGTATTTCAGAATTTTTTTTTTTTTTTTTTTTTTTTTTT